AAGAAGGGCGGTCTGCGGGAGCTGTATGATCGCGGGCCCCCCCATGCCTTTTTCCTGGTCAAGTTCTGGGTAAGTTCTGGCTGCGAGACCCAAGTGTTTATGAGCCATGTGGTGTCCCCACTAAGGTCCGGGCTGTAAGGGACTCCGTCTCAGGGCCTTATTCTCTGTCCTCATGGCTGTGAGCCCCTTTGCCCCCATGGCTCTGTGTCCCCTCAGAAGGGACACATAACTTCTGGTCCCCAGAGTGCCCCCAGATCCCGTTAGACTTTGCCACCTCAGTTGCATGACTAATATGGCGCTGGGACTGGCTTGCCATGTTTCAGGCATCTACAGGCCTCACCTGACCACATCAAGTCCTGTTGCCAAGGAACAATGTCCTCCTGTCTGTTTTTGGTGCTCGTGATTGAACCTAGGGCTTTCGCACAGAGCTACATTTCCATTCCTTTTTCTTTTCTTTTTAATTTAATTTAAATTTTTATTTTGAGATGAGTTCTTGCTAAGTTGCCCTGTGTAGGCTTGAACTTTTCATACTCCTGCCTCGGCCTCCTAGTGTTGGGAATGTAGGCATCTGCCGCTGGGCCTGGTGGTTCTGGTCTCTCTGGAGGGGACTGGGCTTTGTTACTTTCTTTTTTTTTTTTGTCTTTTTCCTTTTTATCGGTACCGGGGATCGAACTCACGACTGCCTGCTTGCAAGGCAGGCACTTATGCCGCTGAGCTAAATCCCCAGCCCCCTTTGTTACTTTCTACCAGACAATGTCTGGCCCTGAAGAAGTGATTGAAGGAGCTGCCTTTGTAGAGACCTGTATGCAACTTTCACTGAACGTATATTACACATAGGCTTGATACTAGGTACCATTTGGCATTTTGGTATCTTGGGTATAGATTCTACATCTGCAGATTTAGCCAGCTGCAGGTGGAGAATATAGTTAGATCCACAATTGTGGAGAACCACCTGGACATCAAGAGGTGATTTATGTGTACAGGAGGGCCAGGCATGCTGGTGCATGCTTGTAATCCCAGCACTTCGGAGGCTGAAGTAGGAGGATCACTGTGAGTTTGAGGCCAGCCTGAACTACATAGTGAGTTCAAGACCACCCTGAACTACACGGCAAGACCCTGTCTCAAAAAACCCAAAAACAAAGGGAAAAAAAAACAAAACCCAAAACAATAATAAAACCCCAGCAGGATGTATGCAGGTTCTATGCAAATGCTATGCCTTTTTTTGTTTTTGTTTTTGTTTTGAGACAAGGTCTGGGTATACAGTTCAGGCTTGCCTTGAGCTCACTTTGTAGTCCAGGCTGGTCTCGAACTCAGTAAGGATCCTCCTACCTCAGCCTCCCAAGTACTGGGATTACAGGGGTGAGCTACCATGCCTAGCTATAATCTCTCTCTCTCTCTCTCTCTCTCTCTCTCTCTCTCTCTCTCTCTCTCTCTATTTTTGGTACCAGGGATCAAATTTATGACCTCATGCTTATCAGGCAAGTGCTTGAGCCTCTGAGCTAAATCCCTGGCCCTACTATGCCATTTTATATGAGGCACGTGAGTATCTATGATACCTTGGTACCATGGAGAATCCTGGTACTGGTACTGAGGGACAACTGTATTGTGAGAGTGGATCCATCTTTTTTTTTTTTACTGATACAAGGGATTGAACTCATGACCATGTGCTAGCAAGGAAGGCGCTTATGCCGCTGAGCTAAATCCCCAGCAAGTGGATCCATCTTTATGTTAAGTTTTTCTTTTTCTTTTTTCTTCTTTTTGAGACAGGGTCTCACCATGTAGTTGAGGCTGGCCTTAAATTCACTCTGTAGCATGGGGTGGCTTTGAACTCATGACAGTCCTCCTGCCTCATCCTCCTGAGTGCTGGAGTTGTCCTTTAGGAATGGCTCACCACGCTGGGTGTGGTGGTGCGTGCCTGTACTTCCAGCACTGGGCTGTCGTGAGGAGTCATGATAGTAGCTCCTCGTGGTATTTTGTCTCCTTTATGCTGTCCACTTCTTGTGGGAGCTTGGTGAGAAGTTCTATATAAGTGGTCCTGAGGGTTATCTGGCCTTGCCCTGGGATCTTGAAATGTATAGTTCCTACTTATTTCCCCACCGATTTGCCACTCTACCTCTTATATCACTGGGATTACAGGCTTGCACCCCACACCCAGCTTATTTCAGGTTTTTTTAGGCCTGTTTATTTTGGTATCCAGCACAGTGATAGATGCTATAGGGATTCAGCCAATGTCAGTGAATGTTTTGGGGTTTGAACTCCTGTGGTAACCAGCATGGGGCTTGAACTGCACTGGTCTTGTTGGGCACAATGGATCATGGTTGTAAAATTTCCTGGCCTATGAAATGGTACCATAGCCCTGGGCATGCGCTGCCCAGGTCAAGGCTTAAACCAGAGCCCCTAGTTCTCAGGTCTGGACTGGCTTCTGCAGGTTCAGGTGAGGCCTTGAGCTGCATGGTTTGTAAGGCCTGATTGCCAGGATGGCGGATGGAGGATGGAGTCAGGCCCCTGAGAAGAGTGACTGCAACCAGGATGAGGGAGTGACCCCGGAGTCCCAACTAGTGGACTCTGATGCTATCTTAGGGTGCATTGACCCTGCCTGGTCTAATAACTCTAGGACAACTGTTTGTGCCCTTGTCCTCTGGGGTCATGGAGAGGGTCTCAACTCTGAGCATCAGCTGAAAAGGCTAGAGAGGATTCTGAACTGCAACCTGGACTGTTGCCTTAGCACCCAGGGTGGTGATGGGAGTCACATGATTGGGTCTTAGCTGGTTGCTAGAGATAACTGCATCCTTAGTAACCAGGCCTTGGGAGGGGCTGGACTCGAGTTGGAAGCTTCAAGGGGAAGAAGTTGATTTCCCAGTCCCTTTGTATACTAAGGACAGAGGGTCAAGAACTTTTTGAGGCCCAGACCTCACCATACTGAGGGCAAGGGTAGGTCTTCTCTTTTTCTCTTTTTCTCAGTACTGGGGATCAAACTCACGACCCACTGCTTGCAAGGCAGGTGCTTATGCCACTGAGCTAAATCCCCAGCCCCTAAGGGTGGGTCTTTTCTGAAACCGTTTCCTGGAGAGATGGGAACTCAGAAAGAGGGGTGGGCAATGGGAAGAAGCAGGCTTTGGGCAGAGTCTCTAATGATGTCCTTTCCACCTGTCCTGTGCTCCCCATCTCCCAGGCTGACTTGAACTGGGGCCCAAGTGGTGAGGAGGCGGGTGCTGGCGGTGGCAGCAGTGGCAGCGGTGGCTTTTATGGAGTAAGCAGCCAGTATGAGAGCCTGGAGCACATGACCCTCACCTGCTCTTCCAAAGTCTGCTCCTTCGGCAAGCAGGTGGTGGAGAAAGTGGAGGTGAGGCTGGAGGCCAGGCTGGGTGCCACAATGCCAGGAAGCCACGATGGGGCAGGCATTTGGCATTTGTCTGGTGGGAGGGCTTTAGCCTGTTAGAGGATGTAATGCATGGGCTTGGGGCAGTGATGGAGTTCAAAAGTTAGAAGGGACCATTTTTGAGAGTTGGAAGGTATAGAGATTAAACTGGATATGGTGGCACACACCTGTAATCCTAGCACTCAAGGCCAAAGCAGGAGAATCGTCACAAGTTCAAGGCCAGTTTGCTACATAGTGAGTTCAAGGCCAGCCCTAACTGCATAATGAGACTCTTGTCTCAAAATCAAAAAGAGAAAGGGGTTGAGAGTTAGTTACTAGGATTAAAAAGGCTCCTGTGCCTACAGAGTTTACAGGGTAAAGAGGCTCATAAGTTACACTTTGGGATTTCTTGGGACTTGCATGGTCTCAGGTACAGCTGTCAGATGGCAGAGAGGAGTTGTTAGAGGGTTGGTGGCCAGATGAAATCAAAAGTCATCGAGAATTTATAGCATTGCTCTGAGGGGCTGGGGTTTGCAGGTTCAGAGGACCAGAGAGTTTATGGAGTGCACCTGGTTCCTGGGGTGACCATAAACCTCTGAGCCTCTGTTTTCCCCACTCTCTGCCCCTGGTTCAGACGGAGCGGGCCCAGTTGGAGGATGGGCGGTTCGTGTACCGCCTGCTACGCTCGCCCATGTGCGAATACCTGGTGAATTTCTTGCACAAGCTGCGGCAGCTGCCTGAGCGCTATATGATGAACAGCGTCCTGGAGAACTTCACCATCTTGCAGGTGACTGTGGGCCGGGGGGCCTCATCCAGGAAACTGAGGTACTGGGGGCCCCACAGTTACCCCTTAGCATAGCCCTCTAATATGGTAGCACCTTCCTTGGGTGGTGGCAAAAAGGCCTACTGGAGTCTCCTGGTTGCCATTGGGGATCATCAGTCCAAGCCTAAGCATTCTTTCTCCTGGCTTCCTGGCAGGTGGTGACGAATAGAGACACCCAGGAACTGCTGCTGTGCACTGCCTATGTCTTCGAGGTCTCCACTAGTGAGCGTGGGGCCCAGCACCATATTTACCGTCTGGTCAGGGACTGAAGGGGGACCCCACAACTGGCCTGCTCCCAGAACACCCTCCTCACAGAAAGGACCCTGCAGCTCTCCATACTCCTCTTTTGAGGAGGGGGCTGTGATTGAAAGGGGCTGACCTCAGAGGCCTGAGCAATAAGGACTGTCCCTTAATAGGAAGAGAGCCAAGTAGCATGTCAGGGATTGGGGACAGGAATGAACAACCCTCAGGGGCCCCCTGCTCTTCTGGATGTTTTGGGGGCCCTGATTACATTGACTAGTTCCATTTCCTGGCCCCACCCATATCTGCCTCTTCCTATCACTCCTCTTTGTGATATGACATCACAAATTGAAATTAACCCTTTCTGTGCAAGAGCAGAGTCAGGGAGGCCCTGGAAATATTTTTTTTTTTTAATATAACAAGATATTTATACATGGGTATTAGGGTTGTGACTGTATCCCAGAGGGGTGAGGCCCTTGAGTCCCCACCCCCTTTTTCTTGTATGTGAGACCCGGACTCGACTGCTGCCTCCCTTTCCCTCCCAAAGCGTGTTGGTTTGTGTTCTGACAGAGGATAAAGTTATTTTACCAAAACATAGGGGATTTATTTGAGGTTTGGGTCAAAAATAATCTTGTGGGAGGTGGTTGGCCATCAGATAAGTGTGGGACAGGAAGCCCTAGGTTCCCCTGGGGGGAAAATGGTGGCTATAGGGTAGGCAGACACCTGGTGCCCCAGGGGAATAAGGGGAGCGCTCAAAGCCCAGGCAAACTAGGGATTAAACAAATACTTATAGTTCCAGGGAGCGGGGAGGGCACGGGAGGGGTGGAGTCGGGCTCAGCTGTATCTAGCAAGTCGGTCATAGACGTAGTCCAGGTTTCTGCACATGAATATCGACAGCGTCATGAAGCCAAGCTACAGAGAAAGAAGATGGTGAATGGAGATGGTGGAAGTGTGCTGGAGGGGAGTGGGGCCCCACGTGAGAAAAGTCAGGGGACAGGGTCCAGCGGGTGGAAAGAGGGCTGCTAGACTGCTAAAGAAGCAGTTAGGAACCAGGAGTGGTGTCCTAGGCCTGTAATCCCAGCACTCTGGGAGGCTGAAGCAAGAGGATCTTAAGTTCAAACCCATCCTGGGCATTTTAGCTACTTTGTGAGACTGTCAAACTAAAAAAATAAAAATGGACTGGAGTTCAATCTCTAGTAACTGCGAAAAAGAGTAACGAGAGCTACAGGAGAACTGGGAGAAGTAAGTGAGCAGAGCAGGCTGAATGACAGCAGAGACGGTAGCAGGTAGGGAGGCGGGGCTCGTCGAGGGTAAGGAGAAGTCCGAAGCAAGCCTAGGAGTTTTTATTCTGGGGCTTCATATGTCACCGCATCTGCGCTCCTGGTCTCCTGGTCTCGGGCTGCTCCTTATCTCGATCACACAGCAGCCAGCGCCCCAGGACGGTAGACACCTTGCCTAGCGGCGCCCTGTATCCTCAGGTGGGTCAGATTCCCGCCAAACCCCGGGTGCCCCACAGGGAGTGGCCACAGCGCCCAGCCCTGCTGTCCCTGGCTGAGCGCGGCGCGTCGGAGGCCCGAGACCTGCGGCTTGGGTTACCGGCGGATCGATGCACAGCTCAGCTACGAACTATCAGACTTACCTGCGAGCAAAGCAAAGGAGGGGTGTTGTGCCTAATCAAAGGCGGGTCTTCTACGTATAGCCAATCAGCTCATAGAAGATAGGTCTCCGCCCCCTCCAGTCCCCAAAGCCGCGGCCAGAGGGCCATGAGGGAAGGATACTCTCACGCATGCGTCCTCCCGGGGCAGGGGCGGGGCCACTATATGACCAATCGCGAGTGGGGGCGGAGCCAAATCACCTCGAGTAGACCGATGCCCAGGCAAATGCCCACTATGGAGATGAGGTTGTTGTGCAGCCAATTCTGGAGGCTCTTCGCGCAGCCCTGAGGATGTAGGGGAAAAGTTAAAGGTGGCGTTTTTTCCGGGATTCGTCCTCAAGCCCAGACTCAGTATTCTTTCTACCTCACCTTTTCTCTTGCAAGCACCGACCCACTTTTTTCTTTTTTTTTTGTATTTTTCGTTTTTATCGGTACCAGGGATCGAACTCACGACTGCCTGCTTGCAGGCAGGCGCTTATGCCGCTGAGCTAAATCCCCAGCCCCCCACTTTTCTAGTTACTGGAATTCTCTAGTCTCAGTTCTGAGCATCCGTCTCCCCTCTTCCAGTCTTTGGCTCTCTAGGCGTCAGTGCTCCTGGGCCACCTTTTCTCCAGACCCCGCCCCTTTGGAAGACCCCGCCCCCTGGTTACCCTTCCCCTTAGTAAGACTGAGCTCTTCCTTGTAGCCCCGCCTCTCTGTGGCCCTGCGGAGCTCCGCGGCCCAGTCTCACGAGGCCACACCCCCGGCAGGGCCGCCTCCCATTGAGCAGCTCCTGATCCAAATTTCAGCTACCTCGCGGTAGATGTGGCTGTAGGCTGGCACAGAGCACAAGTCTGTGTTGTGTCTGGACCGCGCCCGCGATCCGAGCCCACCGGGCTGGGAGAAGTACATCTTTTCAAAGACTGTGGAGTCGTTGGTCGCGGATGAATTGTAGCAGGAGCAAGGCACACGGTCCACCTCCGACTCGTTGCCTTTCAGGATGAGGACCTGGAGCCAGTCCTGTGGAGAGTGCCAGCCGCAGCAGCGCAGCTGAGGGAGGGATGCAAGTGAGGGCTCAGGACCCGCGGTGATGCGAGATGTTGTTAGGGAATCAGGGAACCGGGAGATGGGTTTGAGGTCAGGCCGGGAGCAGGGGCAGAGCCTGAGGCTGGGGGCGTAGCCACGCCAGCGTCTGACACCTTGGAGATATTTATGTCATCATCTGGGATTAAGGTGAGTGAATAGGGTGCGCTAGGAAACTGGAGCTGGAGGATGGGCCACGTCCAGGGATAGTCTCATTGAAACCAAAGTTGAGCCAAGTCAGGTCGGAGCCCCGGAGAAGGCGCGATGGGGCCACGCACCTGGAACTGGGCGTAGTCCCAGCTCTCCTCGGCCGCAGTCTCCTCCGGGTTGGAGCCGTAGCTTTGGATGGTGCTCAGCGCGAGCTCCTTAACCCTTCTCTCCAGCTGAGAGGCGTTGAGTGAGGCTGCGATAGGTGAGGCTTCGCCCCCCATATGCCCTACCCCACCAGCCACTCCCAGATCGTTTGCCCCCCCAGGGATCCCCAAGCCCATGCTTGGGTTGGCTTCTGTTTCTCCTCACCTGCTTGTGTATCTTTTCCTTAGAGCTCAGTCCTATTTTTAGAGGTCATTACACCTTTATTGCTTCTCCAAGGGCTTTGCACTCCTCCCTCTTTTTCTCTCTACTGCTCAGATTAGCCTCGACCTGCACTCAGCGATCCTCTCTAGGAGTTGTGACTGTAGGTGTCACCACTCGCTGCTTTCCTTTGAGATCTCCCTCAGTGTTCTCGTGTCTGATTCCTATTTGCCTTGTTTCCCTTGCTCTCCACCCCCCACCCCCCAGAAGTGAGTGATGGCAGCCTTAAGCTCACCCGAACCCGCTGAGTGGAGATAAGGATGCCCAGGGTGATCTGCGTGGCAAACAGGAGCAGCAGGATCCCAAAATACTGGGGCAAAAGGGAGAAGTCAGGCCTATCTCTCCCTAGGCAGCTCTTCAGGGTGGGACGGTACAAGAGCGGCCCTAGGGTGGGAGTGGGGCACTCACCAGACCCAGGAGGCTGCGAAGTTCCTTGAGGGCCCCCACACAACCCAGGAGAGTGAGGCCCATGGTGAGACTCCCAGAGATGGCCAGGACCTTGGACCAGGTCTGCAGTGGCACAAATGAAAAGCCTGGAAGCAGAGGTGAGAGGCCTTGAGGGTGTGCCTGGTGGGCAGAGCTGTGAGCAGCCCCAGGCCCCACCCAGACAGCCTCCAAGTGGGGAGCCCCATCTCTGGCCATGTTCAGGGGGTTTCTGATTGGACTACCAATGGCCCAGGGACTCTGTCCTTGCCCCACCTTGAGTCTCTGTTTCCTGCTGAGAATTCTTCTCCTGTCTCTGAGCCCCTGTCTGCCCCCTCTCTGGATCTCAGTCATCCTCTTGCCTTCAGCCCCTCCTCAACCCCATCACTTGTTCGTGACATTAGCTCTGTCACTTAAACTTCCCTGAAGCCAAGGAAATAGTTGTTACCCATTTCCTAGTTGTGTTTGTTTGTTTTCTGAAATGTTTATCTCACTATGTTGCCCAAGCTGGCTGGCCTCAAACTCCTGGGCCCAAGTGATCTTCTTTGTGCTGCACAGTAACAGGGACTATGGATTTGTACCATCCAGCCTGGCCTTGTGGTTGTTTTGAGGGACACATGAGAACATGTGTTCAACTCAGCCCTTCATGCAAAGCAAATACTTGCTACTTACCAGCTCCTAGGACTTGGATAATTACTCCATTATTATTTTCCTTATTGTTCTCAATATTACTTCTATTCCTCTTTCCTTGCTGTGTGACACCCAGTAAGGGACTTCCCCTCTCTGAACCTCAAGAGAGGGGAAGGTTTGTGGGAGAATCTGATGAGCACTAGTCTAAATCTAACACAGGAAGTGCTTCAGAAATGGCTATCATTGTCACTGTCCCTATTATTGTTGGTTCACACAACCCCATTTGCTAGAGAAAGACTAAGCACTGTGAGACTAAGTGCTCTGAGAGGCCCAGCCCCAGTTGGGAGTGGTCAGTGGGAGCCAGGTTCTTGCCTGCAGAATCAGGCTGTGTGAGTCTCCACAGGACAAGGGAGACTCTCGCAGGTCACATGGGGAGAGGGTAGGCCCAGATCTGTCCCAGGAAAGTCCTCCCTACTATCCCTGCCCCTCTCACCCACAAAGGACACGAAGCTGGTCTTGTCAATGAGGATCCAGATGCCGAAGCAGAAAATCAAGCTGCCGAGGGCCTGGAGAGGAGATGATAGTGTGGCAGTGGGCTAGGGAGGCGCAGGTGGGCTGTGAGGTCTGGGGATTGAGGCAGGAGGGGCTGCGGCAGAGACTGGGGCCAGGGCTGGGGAGCCATGGGGCAACTCACAAAGAAGAAGATGTTGAACACGAAGAGGAAGTATTTGATGAGGCTGAGGCAGTTCCCCTGGACCGACATCTTTGCCTAGAGTGGGGAAAGACCAGTTGGAGACACCGACAGCTGGGTTGTTGGCAGTGGCTGTGATGGACGGAAGGACAGCGGCTGGGGAGGAGACAATAAGAGGCCGAGAAGAGGCAGAAAGGAAGAACACAGAAAAAGGAAGTCCCAGGGGTGGGGCTCCACCCCTCTTCACCAGAAGTGACACTCTTTTCTGTCTGTCTCTGACTCCTGCACCTGCCCAGAGGGGACACACACTGGTCCCTGAGGGGCCATGGAACAGGTGGCCACCAAGAACATAGTAGGTGAGCCCTCCCGGGTCTCCATGGCTCACCCCTGAGCCCCAGGACCCCAGGACTCCAGGGCTGCCCCTGGACCACAGCTGACCTCAGAGACACTTTGGCCTCATGGCTGCTAAATTTTGCTATCTCTGACTCCAGTTCTGTCCTCTTCTCTTCTTCCCCTTCTCAGTGGCTCTGTCCCTTCTTTCTAGTTCTCTCCCTCTCTCTCTCAGTCTCTGTCTGCCTCTCCCTGTCTCTGTTCTTCCTCCCTCTGTCTCTCTGCCTGCTTCTCTCTGAGGCCCTGTCCTCTCTCTCCCCACCCCCTTTGTCTTGGCCCCTCTCTCTCAGGGGAGACTGCATCCTGTTCTAGACCTGCTGCTCCCACGTGCTGGGGGCAGGGGCTGGGCACCTGGGGAAGTGAAAGTGCTGCAGACGGAGGTGGGTCCCTGGAGTGACAAGCATGGCGAGACTGTGCCAACAGCAAGCGGAAGCTGAGCCTCAGGCACGGCTTCCTCCCTCTGCAGAGGCCTGAGGAGGAGGCCCCAGGGGAGCCCAGGGCTTGGGGGGTCTCATTGCCACAATGTACCCAGCACCTTTGCAGTCTATCCAGAGTCCTGCCTTCTTTTTTTTTTTTTTTTTTTTTGTCTTTTTCCTTTTTATCGGTACCGGGGATCAAATTCACGACTGCCTGCTTTCAAGGCAGGCGCTTATGCCGCTGAGCTAAACCTGCCTTCTTGTCAGGCCTCAATCCCTCACAGATTTCCAGCGCTGGGGGCTCCCCAGCACATAGACTCTGGCAAACCGCCCTCTGAGGACTCAGCTGACCGTGTTCACTGTGTTCTGCACAGATCCAGGCCTCCTCCAGCATCTCTCTCTTGCCTGATTTCCACATCCAAGGCTGCCCCACTCCCCACCCCGGGCTCCCCTTAACCTATTTCCCCTCTGCCACATCCCTCCCAGTCCTAGAGCCAGACCCATCTTGTTTTTCACTTCAGCCCTGCTCTGTGGCTTGAACCGCAGGCTGACTCAGGACCCCTGCTCTCCCACCTGGACCCAGGCACCTTCCTGCCTCTCTCCTCTCATTTCTCAGGACTCCTTGCAGTGAATTTGAGGCCTCATAATTAGTGTCTGGCCGTAGGTCCCTTCTGGACTTGCCTCTAAAATGTCTTCCATAAACTTTAGTCTTTCTGTCTCCATTTAGTCATTTGGCTTCTGAAGGCCTTGAAATTCAGGGGATACCGCAGTGATGGAAGGCTCAGGAGATGAAAGGAGTTTAGGTCCCTGGTTTCTCCTGCACTTACATAAAATATTTTAGATTTTATTGTGGTGCTGGGCTTCAAATTCAGGGACTTACAAATGCTATGTAAAATCTTTACTGCCAGTATGGTTTTTTTGTTTTTTTTGTTTTTTTTTTTTTTTTTTTTTGGTATTGGGGATTGAACTCAAGACCTCGCACTTGCCAGGCAGGGGTTTGTGCCACTGAGGTATATCCCTGACCCCTTAAATGTTTATATTGTATAAAATCAATGGGATATAATCAATGTTACCTTCTCCTTTTGGTACCATACTTTAGGTTTATCCCTGGAACCTGTGACTATGACTTTGCTTGGAAAGAGGATCTTTGCAGATGTAACTGAGGTAGACTTCAAGATGAGGTCCACCTGATTACCTGAGTGGGCCCTCAGTGAAGTGACGTGTTTTATAAGGGACACACAGAGAAGTGACAATCCTGGAGGACAAGGCCACATGAAGGTAGAAACAGGGATTGGAGCAATGCAGGTACAAGCGCAGAGACGCCTGGGGTCACCAGGCATGGCAGGACCCTCTGAGAGCCTTCAAAGGAAATGGCTCTGAAGACACTTGTTTCCAGACTGCTGGCCTCCAGAATTGGGAGAGAACCATTTGAGTTGTTTTAAACCATTAAATTTGTGGTAATTTGCACAGCAATCTTAGGAAACAAGGGGACCGACTAGATCAGGGATTTTGCTCTTGGCCCAGTGCCCTGCATTAGAACCAATCCTCCCTGCCACTGCTGAAAGCACTGGCTATCCTCTGAGCTGTCTTTTTGGCTTTCTTTCTTCCTCACCTGTCCCTGCTTCTCAGTCTCCATTGTATCCTCCCCTTTCTAAACTGTTCTCATTGTTTTGGTTTTTTGAGACAGGGTCTTGCAGGCTGGCCTTGAGCTTGTGGTGATCTTTCTGCCTCAGCCTCCTGAGTTCTAGGATTATAGGCAAACACCATCAGACCTGGCTAGGCCTTCTTGAGTACTGTCTTTCTCTAATTCCTCGAACCCACCTGCCATTATTTCTCTAACACTTCATGACAAATGACCTTGAGTTTAGTAGTTTAAGACAGCAAACATTTCTTATCTCGTACAATTTTCTGTGAATCAGGCATCAGGGAGCAGCGAGCTGGATGGTTCCTGCTCAGTGCTGCCCGAGGATGCAGTCAGGTGTTGGGTAGGGCTGCAGTGTCCAAAGGTCAGCTTGCTGTCCATCCATCTAACCTTTCTGTCTGTCTTTGTGGTACTCTGGATTGAACTCAGGGCCTTTGCACTAAACTAAATCCCCAGCTGTGTAATTTTTTTTTTTTTTCATTTTTGACACAGTCTAAGTTGCCTAAGCTGTATTTGAACTGGTCATCCTCCTGCCTCAGTCTCCCAGAATGCTAGGATGATTAGCATGTGCCACCATGCATGGCCTCTTCCAGGCACTCCTGGGACAGTCTTCCTGCCCTTAACCCCTACATCCTATTCTCTGCCCCTAAACCACAGGGTCCCCCTGTCCTAACCTGAGTCATTCCTTGAGCCAGAAGCCTCTAATGGGTTCTCATTTCTCTCTGAAAAAACCTCCAAATTCCTGCTATGACTACAATACCTTCCATGCACGTTCATTTCCTGCCACTTCTCTGACCCATCTCTGACCATCTTTTCCCCAGTCACCCCAACATAGCAGACTCTGTGCTCTTTCAAAGATACCTCAGGTATCTTTCTGCCTCTAGGCCTTTACTCTTTTCTCTTTCTTTCCCTGGAATGTTCTCTTCAGTGTTGTTTATGGGTTCCTTTATTTATTTATTTATTTGTTTTTTGTCTTTTTCGTTTTTATCGGTACCAGGGATTGAACTCACAACTGCCTGCTTGCAAGGCAGGCGCTTATGCTGCTGAGCTAAATCCCCAGCCCCCCTTTATTTATTTTTTGAGACAAGGTTTTACTATGTAGTTCAGGCTGGCCTTAAGCCCATTGGAGATCCTTCTGCCTCAGCCTCCTGAGTTCTGGGATTACAGGTGTGTGCCAGTTCTTACTTTTCATCTAGCAAATTATCCTTCATTTTTCACTTCTAATCATAATAACTCAGAGAATTTGTCCCATCTTTTTTGTCATCGTATTAAACAAACTTGTAAGTAGGAAATTATTTGTGATTAATAAAACTTTTTCCTATTGCAATTAAGCAAACAAAACAAAACAAAGACAACAAAAAAACCAAGGGCAGTTAGTACCTGACATTTCATAGCCCTTCTGAAATCTGTGCTGAAGCACTGAATGATTCCCTCAGACTGTAATGAGTTCTTTTTTTTTTTTGTCTTTTTCCTTTTTATCGTTACTGGGGACCGAACTCACGACTGCCTGCTTGCAAGGCAGGTGCTTATGCCGCTGAACTAAATCCCCAGCCCCTGTAATGAGTTCTTACAGAATCCAGAAAATTTCCTGTATGCCTTTGTCTAATCACTACAATTGAAGCCAGTGATTTTGTTGTTCTTATTTTTGTTTTTTATTTTTTGGTTTTTTGATACAGAGTCTCACTGGGTAGTCCAGGACAGCCTTGAACTCATAGTAATCCTCCTGCCTCAGCCCCCCAACTGCTGGAATTAACAGGTATGTGCCACCATGCCCTGCAAGCCTGTGATTTCTAATGTGTGACCTTTTTTCCAGCGGTGCTGGGCCTAGAACCCAGAACTCACACATGCTTAGGCAAGTGTGCTATCCCTCAGCTGCATCTCTCTCATGTCCTCTTGAGTGTACACTGATATTTCCCAGAAACTATATGAGCAATGTATTTCAATAGGTCCAATACATAAACAGATACGAGAAACAACTGTCTTCTATTCAACTAGACCTTATAAAGAGAGTTACAAAGATGTAAATCAGTGTCAGTCTTCCATGATATTTTCTTCTGGAGTGGAAGTTATAATTACTTTTTAATAAAAGTGCTATTTATATTGACACATGATGGAGTTTTTTTGTTTTCATTTTTATTTTTATTTTTGTTTTTGTTTTTTTTTTTATTCTTGGAGATTGAACCCAGTGCTATTGCACTGAGCTATAATTCCTTTGTTATTTTATTTTACTTGGTACTGGGGATCTAACTCATGAAGTCATGCTTGCCAGGCAAGCACTTGTGACATTGAGCTAAACCCCCAGCCCTGTTATGTTTTATTTTAAGGCAGGGTCATTTTGAGTTGCTAAACTGTCCAGATCAGGTTTGAATTTATAATTTTCCTGCCTCAGCTTCCCAAGTGCTGGGATTACAGATACAAGCCATTGTGTCTGGCTATATAAGAGTTCTAAATGACAATGATTATTTTAGAAATTTCTCATTGATAGGGCTGGGAATTTAGCTCAGCGGCATAAGCACCTGCCTTGCAAGCAGGCAGTCGTGAGTTTGATTCCCGGTACCGATAAAAAGAAATTTCTCATTGATAGATATAATTCATGTAAACACACAACCCATATATATATGTAAGCCATATAAATTACTTGGACTCCTTAATTTCTAAGAGTACAAAAAAGGTGTTGAGACTAAAAAGTTTGAAATCAGTTTGATATTAGTGAATCTGTCTGAGGTCTCCCAACTGGGAATTGAAATAGGGCCTTCACACTGAACTACATCTCTAGTCCATTTTATTTTCAGACAGGGCTCAATAAGTCCCTAAATTGCTCAGGCTGGACTCAGACTTGGATCTTTCTGCCTCAGCATCCCAGCGTGTTGGGATTACAGGCATGGCTTGCTCTGTTTTTTTTAATTCTTGTCTATCACCCCCGTATATTTCTGAGTTCTTTTTTGTTGTTGTTGTTGTTGTTTTGGTTTTGGTTTTTTGAGACAGGGTCTTGCTATGTAGTTCAGGCTGGCCCTGAACTCACGGTGATTCTCCTGTCTCAGCCTCTGGAGGGCTGGGATTACAGTGTGCCACCTTCTGGGGTCTTTGAAGGCAAGATCCCTGTCTGCCTTGTTGGATACATATTGGTTAGGCCACTGGCATGAGGATCTTTGAGTGTATCAAGTTTGGTGGCTACCGTGGAAGGAATGAATGGGAAGAGACTTCCTACCTCCTCCACACTTCCACTTCACTTGGGAACTTCAAAGAAACCATCAGACCAGGGAATTCATCAGCAGACAGTGGAGAAGGAAAGGGGTTGGTCCTAAGAACAAGATGGTAACATATCTGCGCATGCGCAGTTCGAGTTGTGAGCACCTGCATGCCAGAAACGTGTTGGGGCAGCGGAGCAGCAAAGGCTCTAGGTAAAGTAGGGCGCACGCTAGGAGAAGCTGCGGCGCATGTGTAAACAAACGGCGGGAAAGGCCGCGCGTGCGCAAAGGAGCGTTGCTGGATCTAAGCAGAGGCGAGATATGGATTCGTTGCTAGGCGTCTCAGTTGATGCGTCTTTGCCTAAAGTTTTGACGGTGTGACTGACCAGCCAAAGAGGAAGGCGCAGGTTTCAGGGCCAAGTGAAGGGGAGTGGCCCCGGGAGCCCAGCAACACGCTATCCTCGAGGCCGGCGCCCTCGGGACAGTAGTGGAGTCCCGGCCTCGACGCCTCGCCGGGCCTGGCCTCGGCGTTGCCCTCTGCGGAAGCCACTGGCCTGGACAGGAACCCGCGCCGGCCGTGTCCCTGCCTGCTGGGGACGGAAGCTGTTTCCTGCTGCCTGAGGACCCTGGACACCAGCTCTCTGTGCCCTTTCAGAGGTTCTTGGTCCAGGGAAGGAGGTAGGGTGCAGACGCCCCCAGAGGACACGGCCTCCATGGGGAGCCAGGGCGCTACGGGGACAACAGTGTTGGCCACGGCCAGCACCCACCCCCTTCGCCCAGCAAGGAAGAGTGGGGGTGGGGACAGGGTATCAAGGAGGCCAGGTGGCCAGAACTCATCTGTGTCACTTAAGGGCCGAATGACCAGTTCAGCAAAAAACTTGTAAGGATAATTTTTAAAAAATTTATTTAAAAAATATTTATTTATTTTTGGTAGCACGGTTCTAACTTGTGACCTCATGCTTGCCAGGCAAGTGCTTGTGCTAAACCCCTGGTCTGTTTTTAATTTTTTAAATTTTTTCCAAATCCATTTTACTCAAAGATTTTAATTTATTTTTTATTTTCTGTTCTTTTGGAGACAGGGCTTTAACTCTGTATTCCAAGTTAGCTTTGATCTCATTTAGTATAGTAGAGTGGCGGTATCGAACTCAGAGCAGACCTCTAGCCACACTGACGCTGGAGCTATAGGCCCGCAGTAACACTTCCAGCGTTATTCTTCAATGTGTTGGGGAAAAGGAAAATCTTTTATTTGCATTTTTTTTTTTGTCTTTTTGAGACAGAGTCCCACGATGCAGTTCAGGCTGCCCTTAAACTCACTTGGCAGCCCAGGCTGACCTTGAACTCACAGCCATCCTCCTGCCTCAGCCTCTTCAGTACTGAGGTTACAAGTGTGCACCACCATGCCTGGTTTAACAACACGAATTCTGAGAATCAGAAAAGTAGTCCTTTTTATTTTGAGATCTCTTGTATTTCAACTTTTGACAAAATATCTAGTAGTAGTGAAGATACGTGCTTCTTAAGTAAGCTGACAAGTATTAGAGAAATGTGTCCAACTTTCTCCACGTGGTTAGCTTTTGTGCAAATTGAATGAATGTTTATCTGTTTTTTAGTTTAGTTCCTGCTGTACTCCATCCCTGTCCCAATAGAAAAGGAAAAGCATTTGCAAATGAAAAATAATTGTTGGAACTTTTTAGAATTTATCTTAATTTTAATGTCAGTAATCTGAGTGTTGATTATTTTTAGACTTTGTGATACCATTTTCTTCTGTGCATTTTTATTTTAATTTTTTTGTCTTACTCCTTTTTATCAGTACCGGGGATCGAACTCACTACCACCTGCTTGCAAGGCAGGTTCTTATGCCACTGAGCTAAATCCCCAGCCCCAGGAATTTTATTAAGAATGGCACTAAGTCTGTCTGATCACTCTAAATGATACCTGTACCTTGACAGCATTAAGTGTTTCAACCCATATATGTACAGTGCATTACCCTTGACGGATTGGTTGATTGAGACAGGGTCTCACTATGTAGTTCATGCAGGACCTGAACTCAGTATGAATCCCAGGCTGGCCTCAATCTCATGATGATCTTTCTGTCTCAGCCCCCCACCCCCATTCCAAGTGCTGGAATTACTAGTGTGTACTACCATCTCCAGCTTTCCATGCATATATGGCTTCAATTTTCTTTAACAATGTTTTGTAGTTTTTATTGTACAATTTGTTTATCCCTTTGATCAAGTTATTTCTTAAACATTTTATTTTTTCTGCTGCTGTTGTAAATGAAATTGTTTGCATAAGTTTCTTTTTAGATTGTTCATTAGTACATAGAAATAATGGCTGATTTTTTGTGTGTTGACTTTGTGCCCTACTACTTTGTCAATTTTTTTTTTTTTTTGAACAGAGAAACTCAGGACCTCAAGCTTGCCAGGTGGGTGGGTGCTTTGCCACTGAGCTGTATCCCCAGCCCTACTGTGCCAAATTTATTAATAGCCCTGAACAACTTTTTTGTGAGCTTGATCAGGTTTTCTATATATAACATTATATCAAATTTTGCTTTTTCCTGTCCTGTTTGGATCTCTCTTATTTCTTTTGCTTGACTAATTTCTTTGACTTGCAGTACTGCTGAATACAAATAGTGAAAGTGGGCATCTTTCACTCATTCCTGATCTTGGAGGAAAAGCCTTCAGCCTTTCACCACTGTAGATTTTTCATATTTAGATTTTATCATGATGTATTTTTCTATTATTCCTACTTTGTTGAGATTTCTTTTTATCATTAAAGGGTATTGAAGTTTGTCAGATGCTTTTTCTATATCATTTGAAATAATCACATGACTTTTCTCCCCTTCATTCTGTGAATGTTGCATATTGTATTCATAGATGTTTTTATTGGTACATATTTGTAGTGCATAATGATTATATCCTTCATGAGAAATTGGTGCATATACATGACATGTTAATTCCTTTTCCCATTCCCTTTCCTCCATGTCTCCATTCTCCTTCCATCTCTTGGTCGCCTTTCCTTTTACAAAAGACATCTCTCCTTATTTTATTTTTGTTCTTTTTTTTATAATTTGAGTTTGTCTGTAAGAGATGTTTAAGTTTGTGTGTCTAATTTATTTCAGTTAGACCAAGGATTTAGCTTAGTGGCATAAGTGCCTATCTGGCAAATGTGAGGTTTGCCAGACTTTATGACTTTGATCCCTGGTACAAAAAAAAAAAAAAAAAAAAAAAAAAAAACCCTATAGTTTATTTCGGTTAACACTATGGTCTTTGTTTTTTTTTTTTTTTTTTCTCTTTTTATCGGTACTGGGAATCGGACTCATGACTGCTTGCTTACAAGGCAGGTGCTTATGCCGCTGAGCTAAATCCCCAGCCCCGACACTATGGTCTTAAGATGAACCCATTTTCCTACAAATGACTTATGCTTTTTCCTCCTTTATGGCAAAGTAATACTGCATTTTATATAAATGCCACATTTTTAATCCATTTATGTGTTGACAGGCTTCCAAGATTTAGCTATTATGAGTTTTGCTGCTAAAAACATGGGTATACATGTGTTGTAATACAGTATCTTTAAATCTTTCAGAGATATACTTAGAAGGGGCAAGTCAAATGGAATTTCTACTTTTAGTTTTTTTGAGGAATCTGCATATTGATTTCCATAATGGTTGTACCAGTTTACATTACCATCAACAAGGTGCAATTTTTTATGTTTGTTTTAATTTTTTTGAGACAGGGTCTTGCTATGTAGTCCAGACTGGCCTTGAACTCACTACGTAGCTGAGGCTGGCTTCAAACTCATGGCATTTCTCTTGCCTCAGCCTCCTGAATGCTGGAAGTACAGGTATGCACCACTACTTTGGTATGTAGAAGCGTTATTTTTTCGTTTGAAACCTTGCCGACGTTTGTTATAATTTGATTTTTTGATGATAGCCATTCTTTCTGAAGTAAGATGAAATCTGAATGTTTTAACTTACAATTCTCTAATGGCCAGCAATATTGAACATTTTTCACATGCATGTTTATTAGCCATTTGTACTTCTCAGAAGTGTCTGTTCATTTTGGTTGTCCATTTTTTGGATTGAGTCCTTTATTTTGAAGTCTCACAGTGTAGTTCAGTTTAGGCTGGGTTTGACCTTGGGGCAATCCTTCTGCCTCAGCCTCCCAAGTGCTGAGATTCTAGGTGTGTACCACCATGCCCAGCTACTGCTGATCATTTCATTAAATCCATTTATCTGTTTAGCTGGTTTTTTTATTGGTACATTTTAGCTATACATATTGATAATATTCATCATAGGGAATTTCTACCTGTGTACTATATAAATATATATATCTTTTTGAGACAGGGCTTCACCATACCTGACTATGTATGATATATCATATCATGTTTCCTCTTTTTTCCCCCATTCCCCTCCACTCTCAACCCCTCTTCTTATTTACAAAACCTTTGTTTCTACTTTTTCCATCTATTCTCTTTTTTCCTTGTCCTTTCCTTCCTTTCCCCTCATCCCTCCCTTGTTCCCCTTCTCATTTGAACATTTTCTTTTCTTCATCTTCCTTTTTTTTTTTAATCAGTACTGGGGATCGAACTCATGACTGCGTACTTGCAAGGCAGGTGCTTATGCCACTGAGCTAAATCCCCAGCCCCTCATTTGAACGTTTTCTTCCTTTTTCTCAGTATCTGTCATAGTTTGATCCTTACTTACACTTTCAATTTCTTATACCACATAAACAGTGCTGTATTTAGTATATGTGCTGCTGAAGCAAGCATCACAATGTGGTATTTAAACATATGTGTCCAATTTATTTCACTTAAGAATATGGTCTGAAGGTGCAGCCATTTAACTAGAAATGTCTCAAAATTATCATTCTTCATGGCAAAATAGTATTCCATTGTATAAAAAAACCTCCATGTCTTCTTTTTCCATTTATCAGTTGATAGGTATTTGGGCTGTTTCCAAGACTCAGCTATTATAAACTGTTCCACTATAAATGTGGGTGTACAGACCTTGCTGTGGTGTGATGCTTTTAATTCTTTCAGAAAGAATTAAAAGGGGAATAGCTGGGTCAAAAGGAGCTTTCCATTTTAGTTTTTTTGAGGAATCTCTACAGTGAGTTCCACAGTGGCCAGTCTACACTCCCAACAGAAAGAAGTGTTTCTTTTTCCCGACAGTCATTTCAGCGTTTGTTATTGGTTGATTTCTTGATGCTAGCCATTCTTTCTGGAATGAAATAGAGTCACAGCATTGTTTTAATGTGCATATTTCAAATAAGCAGTAATGTTGAACATTTTTTCATATATTTATTTGCTGTTTCAACTTCTTAATCTGAGAAGTGTTCATCTCCAATGCCATTGTTGGATTGGGCCTTTAAATTTGGGGGTTCTGACTTTCGTAGGTCTTTGTATATGCTAGAAATTAGTTCTTTGAGGAACAGCTGGCAAACATTTTCCTACACTGAGTTGTCTCCTCTGTCGATGGTTTCTCTTGATGTGTGAAAGCTTTTTATTAAGATGACATCCCAGTTGTTGAGTCTGTGATATTTCCTGTGCAGTTGGGGTTTTGTTTATAGACTTTGCCTACAGGAGTTCTGCCTCTTCTTTCTTCCAGCAGATTTAGTGTTTCTATTTTAATATTTAGATCTTTCATCCATTTTTATTTTATTTCAGTTTAGTTTAGAGGA